GAGGACTTGTCGTCTCCGGCGATGGCATGGCCAGGCGAGAGCGGCTACGATATCTACTAACCCTAGCAAAGCTCTACGGCACAAATCGAGTCACCACGAAGCGACGGTGAGGCTTGGCCGCGTGCATGGCGGCACGGCAAGGCGAGCGCAACGGCGGCACGGCAGTGTTCTGCTCAAACGAGGCCGGCATCGGCCTTAGGCTCTTGCTTTGAGTTAAACCTACCTCTAACCTAACCCTAACGAGAGGAACGCGTGAGCGAGATGGCTCGACGGAGCACGGCCACGGTGAGCGCGAGCTCGGTGGTGTTCCAGCGATGGCGTGGCTACGAAAACTCGCCCTTAGGCATTTACCTTGGCTTGATTGGCACGGCTAACTGGTCGAAAAGGTGGAGGAAGCGATGGCCGAGCGGTGCACGCGAGCAATCGGACAATGGCGCGGTGGCGGCAACGAGCGAGCGTGGCAAAGCTCGGCGGCAATGGCGACGACGCTCGGTTTTGCTCTGGCACAGCGAGAGCGGGAGCGAGAGTGAGGTAGAGAGAGTGATGTGTGTACGTGTATGGAAACACACGACTGCAACTTGAATGGCCTGATCTTCATAGTAGAGCATAAGTAAACTTGATAACTATCGTTGCATGACCTGATGGAGAGGTAGTGCACCACGAGATCTTGCACCCGCGACGAACTGCCGAGACATCCACCCTTCCATGCACCGACAAAACCAGTCCACGCAATCATGCCATATAGACATGAAGGCACGAAATGGATGAACCGAAGTTCGGTGTTCTACAACCCCCTCAGGAGTCGAAAGAACGAATGTTGCAAAGCACTCATGCCTTACCAAAGATTCCAAATATTCTCTCCATGAGAGGAGAACACACACACAAGGTGGCTGTATTTTAACCAAAAGAGAGAGGCTCTTACATAGAAGGATTACATGGGTATTTATACAATGATGAAAAGTATGCGAAAAGTTGACACTTAATCTGGGTGCTAACCACCATACCAAAGGTCCTCTTTACTTTTGGCTACTCAAGTGGGAACTCAAGCAATCTCTTCAATTCTCTTGCAGGTCTTTGGGCTGCATGTGCACCTTCCACTAAAACGATCATAACTCTTAGCTCGGAAGTCCAAAAGATGCACCGTTTGTTGCGTTGGAAACTAGACTTCAATATCTTTCTGTTGATATGGAAGAAGGATGCAGAAACGTGGCCCAGTTTTGCAGGTATAGCTGTAACAAACTGTTGAATCATAATTGAGGTTGAGTTATCCTTGTCCACATCATTCTCTCTCTCTTCGAAACGAGTCGTCCTCGACTCGTGCTCATAGCATCAACATTGGACGAACATTATTGGAAACTTGACTCAAGAAAAAAAAACAAGACTTGACGATGCAAGATAACTACAAACTCGGCAAATCGAGACCAACTCCATATAGTGAGAACCAAACCATCGAATTGACCCGGCCGCAATGAGAGGAAACCAATGTTTAAATCTCTCAAGGCACCCTATCAGCATTCTCGACTTGACTCAACGCTATCCGGGAATTGAATACCAATCTGCGAAGGAAGCTTGTAAGGATAATCAGCTCACACCATGACAACCAAGGCTCGAATACCAAATGATGTGTGTACGTGTATGGAACACACGATCGCAACTTGTATTGCCCAATCTTCATGGTGGAGCATAAGTAAACTTGGTAACTATCGTTGCATGACACGATGGAGAGGTAGCGCACCACGAGATCTTGCACCCATGACGAACCGCCGAGACATCCACCCTTCCATGCGCCGACAAAACCGGTCCACGCAATCATGCCATATAGACATGAAGGCACGAAATGGATGAACCGAAGTTCGGTGTTCTACAACCCCTCGAGTCGAAAGAGCGAATGTTGCAAAGCACTCATGCCTTACCAAAGATTCCAAATATTCTCTCCATGAGAGGAGAACACACACACAAGGTGGTCAGTATTTTAACCAAAAGAGAGAGGCTCTTACATAGAAGGATTACATGGGTATTTATACAATGATGAAAAAGTATGAAAAGTTGACACTTAATCTGGGTGCTAACCACCATACCAAAGGTCCTCTTTACTTTTGGCTAAGCTGAAGTGGGAACTCAAGCAATCTCTTCAATTCTCTGCAGTCTTTGGGCTGCATGTGCACCTTCCACTAAAACGATCATAACTCTTAGCTCGGAAGTCCAAAAGATGCACCGTTTGTTGCGTTGGAAACTAGACTTCAATATCTTTCTGTTGATATGGAAGAAGGATGCAGAAACGTGGCCCAGTTTTGCAGGTATAGCTGTAACAAACTGTTGAATCATAATTGAGGTTGAGTTATCCTTGTCCACATCAGAGAGTGAGCACGAGTGAGAGAGAGCAGCGACGTCGCGCGGTTTTCCTACCCACCCCGGCCTGACACGTGGGCCCGACACCGGTGGACGGCCTCCACGTGGCGACCGATGCCTGACGCTGGTCGACCACGACGCACGCGCAGCGCCGGTTCAGACTTCCTTAATAAAAATTGTAGAGCTACGTGAGTACTACAAGATTGCTTAAAGGAGTTTTGTCTAATTCGCAATGGTTTTCAAACTACAAAGCTTTAAAGTGAGGTACCTTGAAATTGAAATCGAAATTAGCATTCTACACAGAGAAAAAATTTAAGTCACAAAATAGCATTTTGTTGATACTTGTGAGCTCTATTTGACCATGTTAGACACTGATTCAGCTTATGACCCTTAAACAAAGTTTGTTACCCATGATAAGAACTATAACTTTTATTTAGGTCACATAGCCTTGCAAGCTCTCTAAACCATTGTTCAACTTTAGTCAAACTAGCATCATGAAAATGATATTTTAAAGTAAACCAACACTTAGAAGTAAAATTGGTTCATGTCATGAATATAAAAATTATTCCATTTATCATCCTAGATGTGTCTATGGTGTTTTCATGACCTCACAACCATTTCATACATTGGTCATGCATGATTATAAGCATATACATATATATAATCAACATCACATGTGATAATGTATAAAGAATTAAATAAAATTTCATATGCTCATGCTCATGAATGAATGGATGATGCTTGTGCTCATGAAATACAAGTGTCAAATGCAATGTTTAACAGTGGGGTGTTACAAGATCCGTCCTGGGTGTCGTCGGTGAGGGAGAGGGAGATGAGATTCGCCCTCCAACACCGTCGGTGAGGGAGAGGGAGATGAGATCTGCCCTCCAACACCGTCGGTGGAGAACCTCATCCTCCCATGGGCCGGCAGATGCACGGTGCTTGATAGGTGTTTGCAACCAGAACTAGCATATACGCTACAACAAATCCTTTAATCCGTGACGGCTTCACATAACGTCACTAATAATGCCCCATCTCTAACAACACACAAGCTACAATGATATCCAGCCCAAAGCCCAATATCCGTTCGCGTATATAAACGAGCCGCAAAACCTAACCCACCCAACGCCTCTCCCACCAGCCGCCGCCCGCTCCCCCTCCTGGCTGCCTCTCTGCACTAGTCGTCACCGTACCCCAGATCGGCACATTTGGCCCTCGGCACGGAGAAGACCGAGGACGGCGCACGGCGCGCGGAGGAGGCTAGTGAGCAGCGCCTCAACCCTAGATGCGCCCTAACCCCAGCCCTCGATGGGTCTGGCCCTCGATGGGTCTGAAACGGCATGCTGCTCGCGGTGGTGCGCGGAGAAGGCCGATGGGCGGCGCCCGACCTCAGCACGGCGTAGCTGGCCCTCGACGCGGAGGATGCCGGCACGCAGGGTGCGGAGGAGGCCAAGGACAGCAGGTGGCGCACTGAGGAGGCCGGCTGGAGGAGGACCAACGAGACAAGGATGGCACGCGGCGAGCAGGGGAGGAGATCGGCACAGAGGTGAACGAGCACCACCTGCAGGTGGATATGCAATAGCTACTGTGATGCGGAACTAGGTGATTTAATTTTGTGTTTCATATATGTCTGAAATTCATTATGCAGAAAATTTCATTGTTGAAACCAGGGCTTGGTATAGCTTAACCCTCTAGTTATAGTTACCTAGTCCATCTGCTACACTATTTGGATTTACCTTCACCCTTTAGTCACAAGCTGTTGATGCAGAGGAACTGCAGTAATAAAATAGCTAAAGTGCTAAAGCAAGGGAGCTATGAGAACAAATTAGTAATCATGTTAATCAGTAACTAATAAAGACAAATTAGTAATTTGTTTCGTGCAGCCGTATTCTTATATGCAGAACTAGGTGATTTAATTTGCCACATATTGTTTTATATTTTGAGGAGATTATTACTACCTAGATAGGGTTAACTATTGTTTTTTTCTTGAGCTTATTCGATTGATAATGACACATAGATTGTCTTGCAGATATCAGCTCGCTGGATTGCAGATATGTATCAAGCTATCTATCTAGAAGTGTATGAACACATGATCGTTCGCCCTGGATTATTGCAGAATGGTCAGTAAAGATTTCTATATCACCAGAATTCTATATTTCTGTACCTATGGGCTCATGGCTTATATGAAATTTTATACTGTGTGTTGGTTCAAATGCCTATGAGTATTGTCGTGGTCTAATTTAAAGTACAAGTGATTGCAACAAATATGTTATAATGAAATACTCCTAACACTCAGTTGTGTCCAGAGATGCAACTTTCTCTCACCACAGCTCATTTCTTCTGTCATGTTAAATGACTGTTCTTGCCTGTTGTTAAGTAAAGCAGAGATGACATTCTGTTCTAGTGTCCTTGCGAATGTTTTTTTTCTGAATGCAAGACATTTGACAATTTTACTGCAATTTTTTTCTGAGTGCTGATTGACAGTTTGTAGCACAGCAGCAGTTCTGTGGAACCTGTGGCTGCATGTCGGCATCACTAACAGCAGGTAGGCAAGCAAGCAGGTCGACATCAACATTCAGTAAAGGTGCAGTTCTCATCCAGTCCTCGTATTTGTGAAATGTCCCTTTTGCTGGTTCAATGTATTTGCTACCATGGCTGGTTATAGAGGCAACAATGTCAGAAATGAAATAGAAAGCAGAGTAAGGTTATATTACAGAGAAAATGAACCCATCGTTATTTGTGTTGTCCAGGAACTGCAGTTTACAGAAAGAAGGAAGAGACATTGCATAGGAAGGTCCAAGATGCAGCCTACAGAATCGACAGGTATGTACTGCCTCCAGGAACTGCAGGTTATTTTGTGTTGTCCAGGAACTGCAGTTTTCTATTTTCAGTAAATATTCATCAGTGATAGCTGCTGTTGCTGCTATCTGTTCTCTCCCTCAGCTGTCAGGTTACTCAGTTTCAAAAACTTGGTGTTAAATATGCAGTTTAGTGTGTTGTTCATGAGAGCAGACATTTAGAGTTTCAGTTTAGTAAATAATCTGAATTTCAGTTCATATCACAAAGAAGCTTCCTGTGTAGGGTATTCTTCCTCATGCAGCACCTGTTGCAAGCTATCTGAATTCTGCTCAAGTCTATTAAGCGCCATAAACATGCTTCTAAATCCTGTGTTTGGTTTTTTGATTTTTCAGGGCTACCAAACTTAGAGCACACGAAACTGGAAGCAGAACTACAAGTAGGGAAGAGGGCAAATGCATTTATTATTTGTTGGAACCTATCTTTTGTTGTTTCTGATGCTCAAAGAAACTTTATATAATGCTGGATGAAAACTTGTATGTGATGCTAGATGAAAACTTGTATGTAACTTGAGACTTAGTATCTGATTTGATGCTAGACAAAAACATAAGATATTGTATGTAATAATGTGCTTGATTAATTAAGTTTTGTCTCATTTGTGTTTACAAAATTACATCTTTGATTTTGGCCCACAAATTTAATAAATGAGCTGGTATGGTGATGTGTGATGTGACAATTCATCCGTGACGGTTATTTTTCGTCATGGAAAATGGGCTTGGGCTATGCTAACTAGGCCTTGGGCTTTTACTATGACGGTCTGTGATCGTCACAGATTCTGTTAATCTGTGATGGTTTCCGGAAAACCGTCACAGAGATTAATCCATGATGCTCAATCCATGACGATATCTAAATCATCACAGATGGTGTATTGTGATGGTTTTTTGGTAATCCATGATGGAAATTTTTCGTCACAGATTAATAGGATTCTTGTATCAATCTTCTAAAGTAAACTTATCAAGTACTACCTCTATGTTCCATACACTATTTAAATCATGTGCCTAAAGAAAATTTGTTCCATACACAAACGGGGAGTAAGAGAGTATCACAATTGGTGATTGACTATGAGCCGAGGCAACACGAGTCGAAGCGATGCGCTTTCGTTAGAGCTGTTGTATCTGGGCTGGTCCATCTCACATGAATCACTGTTCATTTTAGCCTTTGTAGGCTTGGAGCAGCAACTATAATCCAGTCATCGTTGACAGCTTTCGTGTCCACGAGGCCCAGAACGAGAAGGGAACAGGAAGTTCAATGGACGGAACTAGCACATCCAATTTAGGGTCCGTACTTATGTATACCAGAAATAGGAAATCAATCTTCTAAAACAAATTTATCAAAAATATTGCCTCTGTGTTCCATACACTCCTTTAAATTATGTGAGCTCAAAAAAATGTTCCATACACATTATTTCAAGGGGCATGCTAACTACCGCTGAGACAACGGCTGCTCACTGCATGTTCACCGCGAGGAACGTTCGGTACGTACCAGCGTCGAAGCGCTAGGTAGCCATCGTGGGCCGGAGAGATCGGCAGCAAGTAGTGGAACAGCGGCCACAGGTAGTGCTTGCAGAAGTCGTCGTAGAACTCACTATGGCTGGCGCCGTCGAGGTACACGAGGAGGCAGGAGAAATTCTCCATGAGGTATTCGTCCAGCTCGTTGGAGGGGACGACCTTAGATTCGGCCGAAGCGGGCAGCGTACCGATGAAAGTGACGAGCGCCAGAAGGCCGCGCGAGAGCTATAACGCCACCGCGTCAGGGTCGATGGAGAAGGCGAAGCCGAACGGCGAGTTCGGGTCCTCCACCGCGTGGAGGGGTAGCCGGTGGGCCGCCACGATGCGGCGCGCCTTCGGGCCACCGGCTCGGTTGACTGGCGACGCCGACGTCGACGCCAGCTCTAGCTCTAGCTCCATGGAGGGGACTGTGGGGGAGGGAGTGGTGGGGTATATATACCAGTGGGTGGGCTGCAGCTGTCGTTGAATGTGCACATTAGTACCTGAAGTTTGGAACTATTCCAAAGGAAGGCTCTTCTTAAAAGGTGGAAGAAATGATTTGGTGCAGACAAGAAATGGAGGATTTAGAGGGGCTCTTCCGCGTAACGGTTTGGCGCGACGAGTAACGTGGGGTTCGTGGTTTGAAGTGCTCAACGGTCATCTTGCCAGCAAACATGTCCAGCTGGCAGTACAGCGCACGCGCACGTGGCGTAACGCTCATTATCCGACGTGGTGTAACGTACTCCGAGTTAGTTGGGCGTAATTTGGCGTACGTCGAAATAGTTCTTTTAGCTGGCGAAGAAGAGTGCCAGCTAGATCGAGCATATTTAGTAGCGATTAAATGTATTTGTTATGTTATCGACCAATACGGTCGTGAATGACATGGTTTTTTTTTACCATTGTGGTGTTATGTTGTGTTTTGACGTTTCTGAAGGTAGTGGTAGTGGTTTCGTGTTTGTGTGTGTTTCTTTCGTCGAATAAGGCTAGACATTTCTTATAAACAATGTACACTTAGAAGAAAGTGGTTGGATCATATTGCATAGGTTGAATTTTACAATATGTGTAGCATACACTTTTATATGGGAATGACACAAATCGTAGGGACTAAACTAAAACTTTGAATTTTATAATAGTTTGGGTGGAGAATGTAAAAGTTACGGATATATGCTAGCTGCTCATTAAATACAAATGTTCCAAAACAATATATCCAAACTAGTATAGTGTGTGTGCTAACGCCACGGCTTCATTTTAGGGATGCACAAGAAAACAACGAAACGACGATATTTTTTTCCATGGTTCAACTTTCACACAATTGTATATGACCATGTATATAATCCAAGAAACACTATGCATAATAAGGCATAATAAAGTTATGTCTCGCCTTAACCATCTAATTTACAATGTGCCTAAGACCTTAAGTAGGCCTTGGAAATCTTTAGGGAAGTTTTTCAAAACATTCATTTGTACGGCTCTTCAAAATGTCCAGCAAGAATTCTATCCTCAGTAAAGTCGATAGTTGTGCATGGCAGATAATAAGTTAACTTATTAATTTGCTATGTAGTGTACAAAATATACATAGAGAGTATATATGCTCACAGGATAGATCAGTGGCAATTTTACGCCATCCCATGACCGCATAAAACGGTATACAAGGAAGCCTGCCAATTTTCTAGAGAAGAGCATGAGTTTATTTGTTGTACATAAATCAAATGATGAAACATATTATAAGTTATTACCCGTCAATGGTTTTTGATACACATTGTTGGGAATTCACGTTTCCAGTAATAAATATTGTCGTTCCACGCAGGATTGGCCAATTTCATGACAAGATTGAATTTTTTTGGCAATATAGTGTAATGTATCTATATATGGCATGCTTGGATCATGACCCTTGTACCTTGGATCTGGATGAAGCGGATCTATAATGTGCATAGTTTTGTTTCGCCTGTCTATTATGAATAAAGTGTAGAGCCTATCTCGATAATATGGCAGTAGAACATAAAAACAAACACGCAGACTGTAAGTGCAAAATAAAATATAAGATTTCAAAGGAGTATACAAAACATATCTTATAGTGCTTCAATCTTTAATATTGTACTCCATGTCAGGCCAGCGTTCAAGCAATTTTGCCAGTTTTTTGTAGTCTACCTTGTCACAGCACCGTGGATCTTGTCCAAACTGAGTTATGGACTATTCATTTTGCAAAATTTATAATTATTTGATTAATTATACAAATTATACAATTATATACACAATAAGGGAACAATTATATCAACTTACACAGAACTGGAGGTCCATGAAGTGGCATTTGTCTTCCTCCAACAACTAGGCTTCCTTGCAGGTAGCCATCCCAATAGTCATGTTGAAGCAATCATGATCCATCTCTATATTGTCATCTAAAATATCACTAATTTTTCTAATACTTAAAGAAATTGGATATGGCCGTGTGCTTCGGACCCATTCTTTGCTAAAAAAAACAAGGATCAGGAACGAATAGATTATTCTAGCAATTCTAGCAAGGGCGATGATAAGTCTTTAAATTCGAACAAAATATTTACTTTAGAATGACTTATTCTAAAGATTCGGTGATCAACATGATGTGTGTGCGAACTGCATACAATAGCATGATGGACTCACACTAATCAACTCCCTTGGGGAGAGGTGGTAGTTAGATGAGTTGTACTCTTAATGAAAGATAAACACATCATTACCGTCTATCATGATTTGTCATATAGTTTTTCACTCAACCAGCGAATGGGCATGTGGTCCAATGGTAAGACTGTCCAGTGGGACGCTACCTACCAGGAGTTCAAACCCTAGTGTCGCACCTTTTTCTGAAATTTTTCTAGAAAATTTAGGGTACACGCACACGTGCACGTTAGTACTGCGTGTTTCTCGCGCACTAGATGCTAGAGAGCCTCCCAATCTCTTCTTTGCGTGTGTGTCAGTGTGAAGTGTGTGAGTTGTGTGTGTCTAAGTTGACTAGGTTTGTTTTGTTGCTTACTATTGGAGAGCATGCTAATTGGCACTACACGCCACCAAATCAATGTGGTCCAAATTCGTCATTAAAACAAAATGCAAAATAAGAGCAACTCCAAAGAACATATGTAAACCTACATCTCTAAATTGGCTCTCTAATACTATTTACTCATTCGGGAAACGCTGGGCCACCCTGGATGAGAGCGAGACCGTCTCGCCTATTTTGTGGCGACTTTTGTGGGACAGCGTACCAGCGTCCAGCTATTTTAGAGAGGGAGATGACCAAGATGTTGAACCGTGTATTTTTATGTTTCTGTCAAATTTACAGATTGTGAGTGAGATACCTATTCTCTTGGAGTTGCTTCAAGTCAAGTTTTTTTTTGGAAGTTTCCAAACAATCTAGGCAAGTTTTGATTTGTCAAAACTTCTCCACAATTTTTTATTCAAACCTTTCCATATTTTTGGAAAAGGCCTTTTTAATTTTATTTGGTCAATACTTGCACCGTTTGTTACAAAGATGGTGAAGAAGGGAGAATATGGAAGTGAGTGGTAATGCTTGATTTGTCTTTTGCGTGTCCTCGACAAAATCAGTAGCGAGAGGAAAGGGCTCTTGGGTTTTGTTTTGTCACTTGTCGTCGGATAGCACCCTGATTAGCACTACGTACACAACACGTCTACACACCACCAGGTCAGCATCATTTGATCCAAATAATCCTTGTACAAAACCATGGATGAAAAGGAAAAGATAACAGTTTTTTTCAAAATTTTGATAATTATTTGGCAAACAATTCTAGCAAAAAAAGTTTCAGTAATTGTGCTACATCTTAAAAAAATAAGGAAAGAAGGAAAATAATGGACACGAGTATAGCTTGGAAGTGACTAAGCGAGCGTGGTGAGTGGAAGGCACCTGGTTTTCTTGCCACTTCCTGTATATGCATGGTAGACTACATATTAAAATGATGAATGCTATTAGCAGCAATATGATGAGTGTTTGGCTGGCATGATGGCTCTAGATCCTACCGAGCTCTACAATTTTAATACAAACTTTGTTTTCTTCTAACTTGATTTGAAAATTTAAAATTTATATGCTCTGCGGGATCCACACTCATTTTCATGGATGGTTGGCACTAGAAATCTCCCTAAAAATGGAATTCTTAGGGCGGTTGTTTTATGTCAACCGCTTTTGACAATAGATAGATTTTTAGTGGTGGTTTTATTAAGTCAATTGCTCCTGAAATTCGATTTACAATAGATTTTTAGTGGTGGTTTTATTAAGTCAATTGCTCCTGAAATTCGATTTACACAAAAGATTCAGAAGTTATAGTGCAAACAAACATTTCTAGATGTGGTTTGTTATTTGAACCGACCCTGAAAAAAGGAGGCCATAGTAAAAATCATCGGTTTAGTATGTTGGGAGATGGAGAGAGTATAGCTATGAAATTTCAAAGGTTAGTCCAAACTCACACTAATCGGGAGATCCTAGTGCCCCTTCCAAATGGACAATAGATATTTGGTCGACGTTTTACAAATTCAACCGTTGGAGTTGAAACCACCGACGTCCAGCATGGATGTTTGATCGATCATCGATATAGGAGAAAAGTAGTCGTGCTTTCCACATACGCTGGTGGAGTGGAACAGCCTGTACTCCCGTGCAGAAGTTGTCATGAATGATGTAAACTGACCACCCACCTGGAAAGTGGAAAGACAGCACAAGCAGCACAGTAAGCGCATGCAACGGGCTCTCAGGGCATGTCCCAAGCCCCAACGCAGGCGGTCATGAGTATTAGCTTCACCGAAAAGTACTGAGGAAGTTAAGTTTTTTTTTTTTTCCTCAACGCAGACTACAATTTCTACTGAACGTGGTACTGGCAAATTCAGGCTGTTTTTCCATCCCGGACTGAACTTGTCCTGAAAAAATGATGTCAGAGCAGTGTGTCTCCTTGTCACAAGGCTCGCTCCATCTTAGAGCACCCGCAGTGTGGGTGTCGAAGCTGGGTCTATGCATTTAATGCAAACAAAGGACCCAGTACGATACACTGTGGGAGGGTGTCGATGGAGACCCAGGTTCAATACATCGAACCCACTCCTTTTGCAATAAAAAAATATATGACACTAACACATGACACAGCACCAACGGCTCCAACTGCCAAGGAGTGATGAGCATTCACATTTCAATGGTCACTTGACCGTTGCCTTCAAAGAAAAAAACAACGCTTCTTCTTCAGCAGAACGCCGCTTCTTTAAAAGGAGACATGCAGCCTGATTTCTTCCTTGCAAGCCTTTCCTGTCTCCTTGTTCCCAGCGGCCTCCTCCTTTGTTCCAGCAACCTTTTCCTGCCTCCTCCTTCCCACCGACCTACACAAAAATAAAGAAGCAAAATCAAAACAACTCAATAGTGATATTTCTTAGTTCATATGGAATCCTCAGAGGGTAGTTTTAGTAGGCTGCTCGCCACTGATCCCAGGAATCCAAGAGCAGATAACACAAACTTCAAGCACATCCTAAATTTCACACCCAACACTTTCAACCAGAATCAGTTTCCCATCCCACAACCACCATTCAACCAGACTCAGTTGCCCACCTCACCACAACCATTCAACCATTCCCATTATCCCCAACATAGTTCGCCTACTCAGGTCATGCACAACCTGAATCCCTTTGGTGGTGTAAGCAACCTCCAGCAGTATGCCCAGTTCTCACCAAGTTATCAAGGTTTTCAACCACTACCCCACTTTGGCTTCACAGGTGGAATGTTTGTAGGTGCTGCTGCTGGTGCATCTTCACATGGCTCAGATTCAGCAACCCCGCAATCGCAAATAAGAAAGGTGGAGCAAGATGACCAAAAGCAAGATTCAAGCGACAGCAGCCCGGATGAAGGAAGGAGGGCTGTGAGAATTAATTACAGTGAGGTCGAGAACCTACGCCTTGTAAGTCTTTGGATTAAGCATTCAGTAGATTCAATTCATGGCATAGATCAGACTGGAGAGGCCTACTGGAAGAAAATAGCAGAAGCGTTTAATTCAGGCCAACCTGAAGGTGCAAGAAGAAGGTCAAAGGGACAGCTCAAAAGCCATTGGAGAAGACTTAATGCAGCTGCTACCAAGTTCAATGGGCTCTATAATCGAATGACCTATTGTAGTGGGGAATCTGATGACATGCTCATGGACAAAGCACGTGCCACATTCAAGAGAGAAAACAAGCAAAAGCCCTTTACACTTGAATATGTCTGGAAGGTTCTGAAGAAAGAACCCAAATGGTATAGAAGTATACCTGGTACAGATTGTTCAGACAAGAACAAAAGGACAAAAGTAGATGAATCTGGAGCATACACTTCATCTTCCAACCAAGACACAGATGAGGTGGAGACATTCAAAGAAGTGCGCCCAGAGGGGCAGAAGAAAGCAAAAGCTAGGATGAGAGGAAAAGGAAAGGGAAAGGTCATACCACAATCTCCCCTAGGCTCGCAGCCAGATGAAGACATGGTTTTGTTTCACGATGCTATGTTGAAGAGAGCAGGTGCACTAGAAAAACAGTAGAAGCATCCAAGGAGCAGGCTAGAAATGAAATGATACAAAAGTACATGGATCAGCTAGATAAGGATACTTCCAACATGAGTCCAACAGTACTGAAGTTGCATGAACAACTCTTACAAAGTCTAGCCAAGGAACTATTTCCATCTTCCAACAACTAAGCAAATCATTATGTATTAGTGTGTACTGTAGGTGTCGTAGTAACTATATGTGGCAGTACCATTATGTATTAAGTGTATGCATTTTGTGTTGTAGTAACTATATGTGCCACTACCATTATGTATTAGTGTATCAATGGAATTTGTGTTGTACTACTATATGTGGCAGTACCATTTATGTATTAGTGTATGGAATTTGTTTTCTACTAAATGTATGTGGCAAATATTATTATTTGGTACTAAATGAATTTGGCCATGCAAAATATTGGGTTGTACCTGTTTATGCTATGTGCTCTCCTTAACAGACATGGAACTCAGAAACTAGCTGTTGGAGAAACTAATTTTTCTAGAAACTAGCTATTGGACAAACTAGCTGTTGGAAAAAGTAGCTGTTGGAAAACTAGCCGTTGGAGAAACTAGCTGTTGAAAAAAGTAGCTGTTGGAGAAGCCAACTGCTGGAGAAGCCATCTATAAATACAACCTGAAAGATAAACACACCACTCCTTCATTCACATATGCTACACTTCCTTCTACTCCATCCACTAAGCTAGACCTATACCAACAAATGGCCGAATGCTCTGAAAATCAGTCCATCAGTAGTGAGTACCTCCAAAATCTCATGCTGGAGGAAATCAATGACCCACTGGTGGCTCGTGTTGAGGCAAAAATGCAAGTTCGGATTGAAGCTAAACTTCAAGATCTGGCAGGTAGCAGCCGCAACTCACGAAGGTACATTAATAGGGATCATGAAGCTGGCCATGCAAAATTAGTTGCTGATTACTTTTGTGAGAATCCTTTGTACACTGAAACCCAATTCCGTAGAAGGTTTCGGATGAGAAAGCACTTATTTTTGCAAATTGTTGAAGCATTAGAAAATTGGTCCCCGTATTTTCAGTTAAGGAGAGATGCATTCGGTAAGGTGGGTCTTTCACCATTGCAGAAATGCACGGCTGCCCTCCGAATGTTAGCATATGGATCACCAGCAGACCTTATGGATGAATCATTTGGAATTGCTGAAACCACAACTTTAGAGTGCCTAATAAAGTTTGTTCAAGGTATTAGACAAATATATGGGGAGAAATATCTTAGAAGACCTAATGATGAGGATATCCAACGGATACTCCAAGTTGGAGAGGCACGAGGGTTTCCAGGGATGTTGGGAAGTCTAGATTGCATGCATTAGCGATGGGGAAATTGCCCAGTTGCATGGAAGGGACAGTTTACCCGTGGTGACTACAAAGTACCCACTATCATGCTCGAAGCTGTTGCTTCCTATGACCGCTGGATTTGGCATGCCTTTTTTGGCACACCTGGATCCAACAATGATCTAAATGTGTTGAACCAATCGCCATTGTTCACACAAGTACTACAAGGAAGAGCCACAGAAGTTAAATTTACAATAAATGGTTCAGAGTACAATATGGGTTACTACTTGGCTGATGGAATTTATCCTGACTGGGCAACATTTGTAAAAACAATTACTTTACCTTTTACTGACAAGGACAGACTCTTTGCTCAGCATCAAGAGGCCGCAAGAAAAGATGTCGAGTGTGCTTTTGGGATTCTACAGAAAAGATGGGCCATTATACGTCATCCAGCACGTCTATGGGATAGGCAGGAGCTAGAAGATATTATGATGGCTTGTATTATTCTGCATAATATGATAGTTGAGGATGAGAGGGTCTCGTATCAGTTGCATCTAGACACTACATATGAAGAAGGTCGAGCTACAAGGCCAATTGAAGGACTTGACCACGGACCAATTCATGGATTTACCAGAATGCTGGAGATCAATGATATGATTCATGACAGAGAGACTCATAAACGTCTACGGGAAGATCTAGTGGAATATATATGGCAAAAATTTGGTGGTCAGCAAACTCAGGATCTGTAATCTGTAGATGTGCTTTGCAAGTATCTTGCTATTTTAGTTTTTTTATTATTGTTGCTGTAAGCCTAAATGAATGGAAAGTTCTTTTTTTCTGAATCCATGAATGGAAAATTCTACTACCGCACAACACCAAATCTATTATTAGACTAAATCAAAAAAAATTCTATTATTAGACGGGGAGGGACAAACCATGCAGCAGATCCCGTAGGCGACAAAGGATGCGCCTCCATGCACGACACTATGGACGCTCATGCTGCCGCGTCCTCCTTGTTGTACGCCAACATCGCATGGGCAGAGAGGGCTCCCGCGATGAGCGAACCTGGAGTAGATCGGGCGGCGACGACGAGCGGAAGGCGGGCGCCGCATGGGGGTAACGAGGCGGCAGCAGATGAGGCAGGGAGCGCTGCACCAGGGAGACAACAGCCGGCGGATGGGCCTAGGGCGCCGCACGAGCGAGATGAGGTATGGATTGGGTGGATCGACGAATTCGGAGGAGTCGCGGCGGCGAAAGAAAGGGGAAAGAAGACTGACGAAGAAGAGATTGCGGGAAGAAATGTCCGTCGCTTTTTTTTCTTTCTGCGTGGGTCCGGCTATAGGCTCAGGTTGGATCGATACACTATGGGCTCAATACCACAGCGAGTCATTTCAGCAGTGGGACCCATTTTAGGCACACCCCTGAGTCGTTACACTAGGGGTGCTCTTACTGCCTTCACCTAGAACACAGCTTCTGTAGACATACCTGACAGCCTGGTGCGTTGGGGACGGCCTGGCAACCACCGGGACTGCAAAGAATAATATCCCGATCTGGATCCTCTGTGCCTAGGAGCTGGAGCTCATTGCCCTGCAGCGACGGCGACAGGTTTTTTTTTTCAACGACTCACTGCAACGACACTGCTGATACAAAGGCACGTCGTGGCAACGGCATGGACGCCCTTGTAGTTGTAGCTAGTAAGGCAGAAACATATCGGTCCCAGCCGTTGTAGCGCCCTTCCATCAGTAATACAGGTCCTCTGGATATCTGTCCGGATGCCCGCGCTGCACTCCTCACCTGCGCTCACGCTAGCATGCCTTCGCCCGTGCGCCCATGCGGGGCCCACCACCCGAACGTCGCCCGCGCCGCCAGACTGCGCGCGGGGACCGCTCGTGCTCCATCCCACTTCCCGCGCGCATCCTATGTGCAACACCCGATCTACTTTTAAAACATCTAGATGCAACACTTGCAACATACGTCTGAAGATAGATGAAATACTTGAAACATGCTTCAGAAACACTTGCAAAAAAAAACACCAGAAAAACACTTGAAAACCATTTCAAACACACGCAACATTCAAACAACACACTTGCAACATATGTGTGAAACATATACAACATCCAGATAAATACACTTGCAACATACGTCTGAAAACACAGATAAAACATTGGGAACAGACTCTTGCAACATACGTGTACAACCATTGCAACATACGAAATATCCCGATCTACTTTTGCAACATCCATCTGAAACACTTGCATCATACCTCAGAAACATTTGAAACGCTTCGAACATACGCTTGCAACATACGTTTTTCAACCTTCTTCTTCCGTACGACGCAGAGCAGAGTGGGGAACAGCTGATTCCGGCCGGCCGACGGCCGAGGATGATGGCGCGGCCTGGCAGCGGCCAGCTACTCATGCGCCTGGCTTGGGCCTGGTCAACGATGGCCCCCTCTCCTGGTCGCTTGACCACATGCGGAGTCTGAGTGCCTGCGCGGCTGCTGCTGGGTTGGCCCGACCAGCCAGTGGCACAGGCGAGTGGCCAGACCCCGGCGGGCGTGGTGGAGGCGGCCGCGGCGAGCAGGCAGCGCGGGTGCGGTGGTAGAGAACGCAACGAGGCGGAGTGGGGAAGTCATCGAAGCGTCTAGTTTTTTAGAAGTTGTAGATGTCGTCCAGCAGGCTTGTTGGGCCCGGTCCACAAGCCTAGGAAGCAAGCGCTCAGGTGGACGCACGCCCTAACTGTAGCATTAGCGTTAAAATACACCAACGTGCTGGTAAACTTTAGACATCAACCGTGCGAGTGCGATCATCTTCTGCTTTGTCGTAAGTAATGAAGAGCACGGAATGGTTGTAATAATCTGTAACAATGGACTCTCGTTGTTGCGTCGTGTAACTCAATTTCGCTTAACAAAACACGTGCGAAGGCATCGCCAAGGCTTGTTCTCGAAAAAAGAAGAAGAATGCTTTGAGAAATAAAATAATTAATATATAGTAAGTAAATGCTATAATCCAATTGGGGGGAAAATCAGAGTAAACTGTTAGAAAATTTGCCATTATATTAAGAAGAACATAAGGAAATACCCAAACTGAGCAGCTGCACGTGTTAGAAGTTATATGAGTTTGCTAAACACTGACCTGCCCATTTCACGTTTATTTGGAACGCGAGAGCGTCGGTCTGGCTATCAGCAATTCAGCATCGACCCGCCTGTGCTGTCAGTGTTGCATACAGATAAAGCAGCTGCTAAAGAAACGGAGAAAATCACAGGTCGAAATTCAGCTTCAATCTATAGGTAAGCCAGCTTTGTCGTCCGGTTTCCTTCTTGGCAAAAGCATAGGCGCAGCTGTGCGGTGGAATCAGCACAGAACACTTGCAATGATTTGTTACATGTTAAATAAGAACAACCGAACGAGCACCTAGCCGCATTGTTTAAAGCAGACATGCAAAAGTTGAGCTGCCGTAGCACCGAGCAGGTACTCCTGACGAAGTACATCACGGGGATTGTAATTGCATTATCTTGTCTTCCTTCCATGCATGTTACCCCTCATGGCTGGACGTGCTGTAGTCGGACCTGGATTCAGTGCGACAGGAGATGTACGGCCACTTGTATATGTACGTATACGTATCGTCCTCATTTTGACCAAAACCCCCCAACTTTTATACTGTAATGTAACTTGACACTTAGCTACTCGTCCTACTTGCGCCT